GGCTGTGAGAATATACCTTGGTAGTATCTGGCCCTGATCCCTCTGCATGTCACAGATTTCTAGAGCTCTAACCACGCTGAGGATCAGGCACTGGCTCACAGGACTTCCCTCAGCTCTTTCTCCCCTCTTTATGGTAAACATGTATTTTTGCAAGCTTTACAAACTTGTTCTGCGCAATGCTCAAGCAGTTACAAAACATTTGACAGGCTGGCAAAATGGAAATACCTTCAGGATGTCTCATTTATAATTGTCAGAGAAACCTGTAAGGGTTGTTTTTTTCTTAATCAGAACTTTTTTTCTAGAAGCCTGATTTAAAGAACTGTTTAAGAATATGCTTACTTTGAAGCGCATTCCTAGCCTGGGGAACCTGGAAGAGCTGTGCATTATCATTAGGTACATGTTTTGGTCCCTAGTAGTCAGGACCTTCGTCTGTAACGGTCATTTTCTCACTCTGAAGGGTTGGAAAGGGCACCCAGCACTTGTGTAATGCTTCCTTCCCTGATTTGCTGACTAGCTGACAGCTGCTAAAGCAGGTCATTGATGACAGCTAAATATGTTCATGTGGCACTGCACAGCTCTGAGTCCACCAGCGCTGTCTGTGGTGGCTTTACCCTCTGCTCCTGACAGCAGTGGTGGAGAGGTGGGACTCATCTCACCCAGCTTCAGACGCCCACACCAGAGACACCTACTTCCAGCTCGTCACCCCAGACTGTTTGGAGCTGGTGGAGAGAAACAAGCACTCTGAGGGAGTGATTCATCTGGCTCGTTTTAATCATCCACTTTAGGAGGAGATAAATCGTGCTATGGAAATGTCTTTTTTCTGTCTACTAACTATGCAGAAAGTGTAAATCACTGTCTCAGATACACAAGTCTGCATGGCAGATGTCTCAAACTAAGAAGATGAATGCCACCCTTGGTTTTTATCAGTACCATATTTTTAATACACACATTTAGATACAGTGTGGTCCTTCAGTAAGCCCTTTAGCTGTCTAGCTGTGCACAGGAGTCTTAAGACTCTTGTACAGACTTTAGAAGAGGCCAGGACAGCCTATTTATTAAAGGTGTTACCTTTAATGGTTTAAGGTGTAGTGCTTTCCCACACCTCTTTTGCTTCATGGCCTTTAGCTGGGTCTGTAGAGTAAATAGTTTGGGTATAGATGGCCCTCGCTACAGGTATCCAAAGTCACCTGATGGGGGTCTTAGCCATAATAGAAGAAACAGAAGGACAGCTGTTTTGTGAGGCTAATGGCATTGGCAGTAGCTTTGGAGATTTTTTCCTTCCTTTGTTTCTGAATGCAGAGGTTGGACTAAAAAGGAGGGAGGAGGAATGGTTCCATTTGGGATTTATGAAAAAGGAAAATGCATGAGCAAGAGGGACAATGAAAAACCAAAATTAGTAAAAGCAAGATAGGCATTTTCCCTCTACCTCAGTATCCTAATTTTCTCTTTTGAGGGATACAGTAGCATACCGAGCAGTTTGCTGCAGGAAGCAGTGGAAGAAACCATTAATAGTCTGCAGAACTAAAATTCTTCAATGTCCTGCCTCATCGATTCTAAAAAGACATTTTGCTATCTTTAAATTCATGTGCATTCTGTTGCCAGCTGACTCTTGTGCAGTGTTAGAGAGAGAGAGAGAAGCTTTTCAGCCATGTGTGGGTTTAGTGTCACCCCATCTGTGCACTTGTGATTTGGGTGAGGAAAATGTCCCTGGCAGAGACACTGGGACAAGACAAGGCAAACTACAGCTCTGGATTTTGTGTTTTCCAGCTGGTAGGCAAGTGCCCTCCACAGTAAATGAAAGGATGAGGCCACATGAGTGTCTATCATCTGTAGGGTCCACCCTCTCCAAAGAAAATCTGGTTTTTGTGGGCAGATTATGTCACAGGTATCCTTCAGGTCAGTGGTGCATTCACTGGAAGAGTCTGTGCCCATTTGGCATCTAACTCTCCAGCAGCACAAGCAATCATAAGGACACAATAAAGTTTCACTGACAGATACTACAGATACTGACAGATATTACAAATCTCAGCTTGTAGCTGTTAATCATCAGACAGTGATTTTTACCCCTATCTTTGTGAAATCCATTGTGCCTGGGTAAGTTTTTAGTCCCTCCAGTCTGTAAATACATCAAAAGAATGAACATTCCTAGAAAGTTAAGCTTTCAGGTGCAAGTTAATTTTGGAAATTATACACGCAGTATTGTCTATTGCTGAAAGCGAATGTTTGTAGTGGTGGGTTTAACACAAAATTAGATATACCTGGACAAGTAATTCTGCCTGTGTAGCAGAGAAAACATCAGCAACTTCAGCTTTAGGGAGCAATGGCCATGGAACAGAGTAGAAGGCAGTGATATTCATGCAAGCTGTCCAGATGAACTGCTGACTCTTGTGTACGTGCACAGTACAACGGGGACCTGGGCAGGTGGCTTCAGCCCTTCATGGGGGGAAGATCTTCACCACAATGTCTGTACTGTCTGTCTGCGCTGTGCTGCCAGATGTTGAGTGTCTGGTGCATCAGACAGTTGTGACTGATTCTCATTTTAGGAAAAAATAACACAGCTTCAGTGTTGTGATTCAGAGCACCTACTCATCTTAAAATCTCATATATCCTAGTGACTTTAGGCACCTTCTCTAATGTTAAGTGTCTTCAGCAGGAGTGGTTTAAATCCTGATTTCCTGTTTCCCTGGGGAGTAACTGCAGAATGATGCAAATGGCAGCTACCCCACTGGCTGTCTCAAGAAGGAGGACTATTTTTGCCTACCTCTGTAAAACTACATAAACTCTGAGTGAAGTTGCATTGACATAGAGACACAAACTCCTCTTAAGCTCTCATTTGGCATGCTGGCTTCCTGAATTTGTTTTTTCTGTGTGCAGAAACCCAGTGGTCCAAGGGAAGAAGGATGGTGAAGTTTGTTAGAATGTGTGAATTGTTTGGTGTTGCAGTGACAATGCCCAGAAGAAAGTCTTGAGTGGGAAGGAAAAATTTAGTAATCATTCTAGGACCTGTGTGGTGGATAGCAAAGAGGGCACCGGCAACTGCCCATTACATGGTGAAGTTAAAAGAAATGAGTGTACCCTTGTTTGGTGTAAACTGAACCCGGACACTGGTCTGTGCAGCAAGTGAGGCAAGAAGCATTAGTTACAAGCCAAGTATTACTAAGAAAATATGTCAGAATTATTTTGAATGAGCCGAGCGTTCCCAGGCAGTGTGTTTTTCAATTCAGTCATTCGGCAAGTGGCTTGTAACCTTTCCATTATATGTTTAATACAAGGTCACATTAACTTTGGACAATTCATTTGCTTGCTGGTGCATCTCTTGTTATGTAGGAGGCTGCCCACACAATCTTCTGTTGAAAACTGAAATAAGTGGAGAGATCAGATCTCTGGAAGCTACACAAAAAGGCTAGATGTTTATTTGCTGATGCACATTCCTGTTAGATATCAGGCCATCAAACAGAGGCCACAGTCCTTCTTATTATAAAATACAGCTTTACCAGGCAACCTAATGGTAATTTTAGCTCAGATCATGCATTTCTTATCTGTAGGGAAATAACTAAACAGTTGTTTAGAAAGAAACATAGAAAGAAACATTTTCTTTCATAATATATTAGGTCACCTATACAAATACAGGTTAGCTTGAAATAAGAGATTTTCCATTCCGCATAGGAATTCACACCAGGATAAGGAAGGGGTTTTTTTGCTTGCTTGGTTTTTTTGGTTTTTTTTGGTTTTGTTTTGGTTTGGGTTTTTTTTGTTTGTTTGTTTGTTTTGTTTTGGGGTTTTTTTGTGGGGTTTTTTTATTTGTTTTTGTTTTTTGTTTTTTTAATGTGGACCTCTTTTAGTCTACCTTGAATATTTGTAAATGTTTGACAATGATACAGTCTCATTGTCCTGGCTTTACTTACGTGTTTTCACCTTTCAATGCATGCAGCAAATTCTGGACAGTTTTGAAGATCTCTGGATTTCAATGTGAACTACTGTTACTTCCTGCTTTAGGTGAATGGACCAACTAAACTGCAGTCAGCCTCTTAGAGAAATCACTGCTGAGTGTTGTGTGTGGGTGACTGACAACTTCAGCAGATGTTGAATGGGGTGAACCTAAGAAAGGCAGGTAGAAGGCAGTGGCCTGCTGCTGAGCTCTGCCAGCACGTTTTGATCTCTCTGAGAACTCAACCAGCTAACCTTTCCTTGCTCATTCATTCACAAGCTGGATACATTATAGACTGACAGCTGTAGATAGCCGGGCTGTAACAATTAATGTTTGAGGGGTGAAGGGGCAAGGTTTTTAGGTGACAAATATCCAGCAGCATGCTAGGTTTAGTTATAATGGGGCAAAGCTCCAGTCCAGTCTTTGTGCAGGACTTGAACTAAAAAAAGTTAGGCTTGCCTGGTCAGAGATGGACTTCAGGGCAGCATGTGGTTTGATCTAGTTTTTGCTATCTGGCTACAGCCACAGGAGACCTGTTTTTTCAGGGATCACAGAAGTGCCTGGTGATCAAATTCAGTATTAATCATGCTATTTATGTTGCAGTGATTTTGCTTAACTTCAGGATGAAATATGTTGCCCTCCTTCTCTTTTAAGAAACACCATATTCCATAAACTGGCCATTTCTGCATTTTCCGAGACAATAACAATTTCAAGTGTTGTTATAATTCCTTTTGCTGCTTTATCAAACTCAATACCACATTTTTCGTTCATTTACACATCCTAACAGCACTAGTTTAAGTGGTGTGTTAAGCCTTTCTATGTACATCAAAGCAACATGTAATTTTCACTTCCATTTTACCCAAGGGCTTCTAAATCTAGAGGCGATAATTGTTATTTGCATTCTAATTATGCCTCAGTTCAACCAGAGGCTTTGCAATGATCTAAAAACAAAGAACATTTTGTGGCAAAATCCGGTGGGTTCCTTTGCACGTGACTTCAGACGGGCCTAAGATTTGAAATCTAAAATACAGGATGGATTTCCTTAGTAAGCCATGTGTTTTCTTCTCCTCAGGGGATGAGCGCTCCCGGGAGTCTCCAGCCCCTGCCGAAGCACAGATGCAAGCTGGGGCGGAAGGCAGTGGAAGGGTGAGCCGCTGCTGCTGGAAATGTTCCGTGACGCAACTCAAGAAGATCTTCTGGGGTGTGGCTGTGGTCCTGGGCGTCTGCTCCTCTTGGTCGGGTTCAACCCAGCTAGCAAAACTGACCTTTAAGAAATTCGATGCACCCTTCACTCTAACGTGGTTTGCAACAAACTGGAACTTTTTATTCTTTCCTTTGTATTACCTTGGACATGTTTTTAAGTCAGCTGAAAAGCAGTCTCCAAAGCAAAGATACAGGTATGGAACTTTTGGTTTTTAATCCTGTGGCTTTTGCATGTTGCTCTGCATTTCACAGACATTTTGTTCAAATCAGTCAGTTACATCAAACTTGTGTTTGCTTTCCTCTCCAGGTTTGTTAAAGGATGGTCTGAGTTCATTTTGTGTCCTGTGTTAGGTGCTGTTATTATTCCTAATATAATTTTACTCCAGCAGTAAGAAATCCAGATTTATTTCCAACACACGCAAGTCATGTAATGAAAGTCTGCATTTTCTGCAATTATTTATCCAGAGTTTTCTGCATATATGTTTTTTTTTAATTAATATCTCTCTCCCCTACCCATGGCTGACTTCTGTGTCAGTCTCTGAGTAAGCTAAGTAAGCTCTCTAAGTAAGCTTTTCCAAGCTCAGGACTAGAGCAGAGCCTTGAATAGCTGAGTAAAAAGTACTGCAGTATTTTCCTGGCACTACGCCCTTGACATCAAAGGCCAAGCTCTGATCCCAGTTAAACTTGAGCTGTTATGTTTATTTCCGGGAGGAAGCACAGTCATAACCAAAGGCAGCACTTTGTCTTCAGCACACCTTGTCTTCAGAGCAAGCCAAACCCGCAAAGTTGAGCCACTCATGGAAAGCCCTGAGTGCTCGTCCTCTGGGAGAGGCTGAGGATGCTCTGCCTGCTTGAAGACTGCCTGCTTGAGCACTCCCTCAGCTCTGCTCTGCTCATTTTGGCCTGAGAGGTGTCTGGGACAGATGGGATGACTCAGCCATCAAGATGTCCCATGTCAGAGAGCTTCCCTGATATGTGGAAGGATGTGAACAACCTTTTCCCCTTCTGTTACACAGTGGGGCTCATAGACATTTAATGAAGTAGCTCAGAAAAGTAAACAGTAAGAAGTACACATTTCTCAGCTCCCAGCTGCACAGCAGCAAGGTGGAAACTTACTACAAGAAAAATCTAAGAAACCAGGTTACTCAGGAAATGCTCTACCTCAGATGATTAGGGCTAAGAAATGCTACTGATTAGCCATCATTACAGCTTCTTCATCTTTTAAATAGTGTGGGGGCTGCAGATAATGGATATGACCATTCACTGCAGGTTCTAGAGCAGGATCTAGAAGTTCTAAAGGCATTTTCATAAGTGCCATGTTTCCTGAGCTTCAGTCTTCAGGTTGTATTTGTTCACAGCAAATACAGAAATAAGAGGAGTATGGAGGTTACAGAAAGCTACAGCTTAATCTAAAACCAGCAACAAATGCCAGCCTAAAAGCAAATATCTTTTTGTTTCTTTGGTTTTAAGTACTTTTCTTCCCAGCTGCTCTCAGATAATGTTTTAAGTACTGCTGAATTCTGGGGTGAGCCATTGTGGTTTGCCAAATCCCTGGGGTTACAAACCTGGAGCACTGTACACATTGCTCCAGTAAATTGATACAGTTGGTAGTTTCATGTCTTTCATTAATTAAATGAGGGCTGAATTGAAGAGCAGGTGCAAGCCCTGAAGCCTGGTTGGGATGCAAGGGGACATCATTAGCAGTAGGCTTGCCCAGGCTTCATAAAGAGTGGATGTTTGTGTGTCTGACAAGCAGAGTGAATAGAGTTAACTTAGGGAGGTTTTTCTGGGTGTCAGGGAAGATGTGTGCCTCCCAGCTTCCCTGCAGATTTGTTCTGTGGTTTGGAGCAAGTCACTGCAGACCTCTGATTTCCTTGTACTTCCTATTCTTTTGGAGGAGCCAGTCCTTCAGGGAGGAGGGAGGACACCCCCTTGCCATGTGTTTACAAAGTGTCTGCCTCAGCATGTCACCTGTCTCCACTGAGGCCTTTTGGTGGTGCTGCACCAAGAGTTACTGTGAAATTATCTGCTGTTCACCTGCTTGCTCTATTACAGCTGAGATGTCACGTGTATACATCAGTAAACCCAAGCATTACAGTCCAGCCTCCCCTCCTAATTATTCCTTTTTTTTTCCATGTTACATATGTGTGCAGATATATAGAGAAAGAGATACACAGGGACTTTGCAGCTCTATATGAGGCATCACCATCCTCAGGAAAGCGTGCAGTCCAGGCATGGTTGGACACGTTAGGGAGATGCTTCACAGACTTCTGGGTAGTTAAAATGAGATAATTCTGGCCTAGAACTATAAAGAAACTGGCATAGTCACTTTCTACTTCTTTTATCTTCACTTTCATCTATATTTTACATCTTATCTGAGCTCTCTGGCAGGAATTTGTAACAAGATAAATTAAAAGGCAATAGTGGGAAAAGGTGGAAATATGATGTCTAAGTCACCTTAGCAGTGAAGTAGAAAAGGAAGGGGTTCTCAGATCTTGCCTACACAGGCTGCTAAAATCCACAGGTACCTAATGTTTTTGGCAGCAAAGCTCCCCCAGGACACCTGCCCATGCACCTCAGCAGGACTGGGCTGCTGAGCCTCCCCTCCCCCTGGCACAGGCAGCGCTTGCACACTGCCCCTTCCTGAGGGCTCCGGAGCCAGCACGTATGCTTTGGGTACCTCCCGATGCAGTCAGAGGGCATGTAAAAACAGCAGCCACCAGGAAAAATATACAAAAGGGAATACAGGTACAGTCCCTCCTGCACAGATTATATGGTTTATTACAATTTTTTTATTCCCATTGCATTGTACCAGTATGTGTGCTATGCTGTACATACTGGAATTTTTATGTTTTGTAGTCTCACAAGAAGAACATACCTACGTGGACATAAACCAGTTTTGGCTGGTTTATGACAGAAAAACAGATTTTTTTTTCCCTTTTTATGGAATGTATAATAGTAGTAAATTTGCTACCAAAATTTTATAGTGACACATTGAATATTAGAGCAGGTTTATTCAGTTTCTTTATCAAATTTTGAGTATTAGGCCACAATGTGAAGTATTAAGGACTTATGATTGAACCATATTGGTTCATGGTAAGGAACTTGCTGTTTCAGCTGAAGTAGACTATCAGCATGTCCACACCATGGGGAGAGAGTCACTCTTCACAGCAAACCAGAACTCAAGCATTCACTTCCAGCTGCTCTATACTCCCTGATCAGCTCCATCAAATGCTGCCAGGGTTGTGCCCAAGTGTAGACTGCTCAGGGGGAACTTCTCCCATGGTTGCCACCAAGGATGTCATGGTGCAGGACTGCCTGGATGAAGTGATACAGAGAGCTCTGGAAAGCCACGTAAGAGCATGCCAGCATCACTCTCCTGCTTCTTGTGCAAGTGCTCACTAGCTTAAAAAAAATTACTGTAACTAAATTATTATTCATCTCAACCATTGTCCAGTCCAGAAATAACAGATGTAATGATTTGTGCACCTAATGCATCATTTAAGAGTACTTCATACTTTTTGCTTCCAAACTGCTTTATAAAATGACACATTTAATCTGATGAGCTATCCTCCATCATACCTACATTATTAATTTATGAGGTAACATAAATTAAAAGCACTAGGGCTTAAAACTCCCTGGCTACATGAAAGATTAAATTAAAATCTCTGCAAGATATTGCTTAGCTTTGTGTATCTCTAGGCAGAAAACATGCCTTTTATAAAGATTCACCCTCTGTGTTCCAGCTGGGAGGAATAATAGAGGGGTTTGTTCACATTTTAGAAAAATACCACAGAAAGCTTGTTTATTTTCATGGTATAGTCTTATCTAATGACTTTTTTGAGAAGGAAAGGACTTTCAGGAATTATTTGCAGGATTATTTATGTATTTACAATTTAGATATTGGGTTTTTTTTATTTCATAAACATTTAGGACTAAAGAAAACACCAGAAGCTAGAACTAAATCTATTCTGAAACCTTGAATGCACCTGATGTGTTGGGTGAATGAAAGAATCATCATAGTGCAGTCCCTGCACTGATCTGCAAACCATATTTGAACATGTTTTAGAATGTTCTTTTTCACTGATTCAGAGTTTTGTCTCAATATTGCCCCCAAATTATCTGCCACTGGTCTTCCAGAATTTGAAGATTTTTCTTTGAAAATACAGAAAAAGTTACAGGTAACACTGAAGTATTGTTGTGTATTTGAAACTGAATCAAAATGCTCGTGCAACAACAGTAGAGGACGACAGTAGTAAATCTCACTTACTCTTATATACCAACATATAGAGTTCACAAAAATCACTTTTGATCTATATGTCCATGGGCTCAGAATCGAGATTGGGTTCTTCAGGGGCCACAAAGTTTCAGTGCCATAGCTTCACTTGAGGTCCAGGAGAACGTGGGCCAGTTTCTAAATGTGTTTCACAGGTATTTCTGCTGTGATGGAAAGGATGGGACTCTAGCCATCACCCCCAGTAGTACAAGGAGCTGGGTCCATTGGTTTGATCCTGACTCATATGAAGTGCAATTCACTGCACTATGGGTACTGCCCTCCTTTTCTGCAGCAGACACAGGACCCCACTGCTAACCAAACCCCTGGCCATGATGAAGCTCTAAGGGGAAAGAAGGTCAGAGCCATTTGGCATGACTGGATGCTGTTTTAGTATTGATTTTTCAGTGGTTTGTGTTCATGAGTCTCTCTTACCCAGCAACATTAAAATGTTGCAGTGTGGTTAACTTTTGGCATCCTGCTGATTTATATTACTACTTAGATGGGAGCTTCACCACCAGAGCAGACAGCATTAAGAGAGTCATAAATAAGCTGTGGAGGCATCAAGACATGACAAATGCAAGTGTTTTTAGCAAATGTCATCCAATGAAGCATGCTTTCTTTCAAAAAACTTCAGTTTATAAACGCTATTTGTCTAATTCAGAACATTATCCTTAAAATAATACCTGTTTACTTTGTGCTCCTCAAAATAAAATCACTTTACATTTCAAGTTCACATTAGCTTCTTGGGGAAAATAAAAATAAAAAAACAACCAAGAAACAAAATAAACCATTGAAATTAAAAGATAAAGCATCTGATTCTTACCTGAGTTTGACAGAGACCAGTTAGGAGTAGCGCCAGATTAAATCAGTTTGATGTAAATACCAAGAGATCAGTTTGATTTCTACAGTCATCTCTCA